CGCGGTGTGCTTGGCGCGTCAGGATGTAATCGAGGCACCTACGTTCGCGTCCCGACGGGCCGTTGAACGTATGCCATATCCCGCCCCTCCGTGTGTCGAAGAAGGTGTTGAGGACCGCTAATCTGTTGTCCGTGGCGAAAGTCAGCAGCAGCTCACCATTTTCGTTCAGCTCATTGCGCCCGTACTCGCCCATGGTTCCTTCGTTTTCCCCTGCTATCCCTCCTCCGGTCTGGGCATTGGCATCCATGAGTACGAAAAGATACTCCTTAGCGGGGAGTTCCTGCTTATTTTTTTCCGGCATTATTCGTTCGTTCTGCGGCGGGCACTGGATGCCAGCATCGGTGCTGAAACCAAGCACTATTGCCGCAAGGACACCTGTAAAATTAATCACGAGACAAATGTACGGAATCCACAAAAAAAATCTACAAAATGCCTAAGAAGTGGCTGAAAAATGGCATAACAAGCGGTAAAAATCGACGTAAACAGAGGAAAAAAAGGAAAAACTCAATCAATGGTGGACACCCCCTTAGGCTACAGGTACTCGGATGGTGCTGGCTTCCTGTGCGACTTGTGCACCTTGTATAGTATTACTGCTTCTCTCCCTCAGGGCCTACAGCACCCGTTCTTAGGTACACTAGACTGTGCGTGTACGACTTCTTGCAGGAGGCCTGCACGATCTGCACGGCCTGCCTATCTTCCTCTGCTCTAAAGCTCAACGGCACGTTCGACATCAATCAGCGTCACGGCCGCGCGGTGGCCCGGTTGTGATCATCGGGCTGCGCCACTTGATTGAGCTCGGTCGTGTCGCGTTCCCGTCTAACGGCTACTGCGAGACGGTACTTCCGCGGGGCCTTCCTGTCGATAGAGATGTTGCTCATTGCGTATCCATCCGGAAGAGTGTTCTGCACATGCTGGTACTCGTATGAGTCCTCTCCGAACTTCATGCCTCTTGTGGTCTCCTTCTCACACCCCACCAGGCCGCACACGCCAAAGTTCAGAATTTGGAGAAATTGAAAATTGAACAAATAAATGCGGGCGCTCGCCACGCGACCCAAATACCGAAAAAAACTTTTGGCACCAACTGACAGCAAAAACCCCCCAAAACGATTATTTTTCTGCACAGCCCACTGGGGGCCTCGCAAATAAAGATTTTGCATTTTCGCAGCGATTCCTCCGAGAAGTTCAAGTGAGCAGAACTCGTGTGCATGGTGTCTGTGACAAGTAAAAGTGGGTGCGTTCGAAAGCCCAGGTCCATAGCTTTTATTTGATATATAGTTTGTTGTATATGATGCGTGGCGAGCACCAAAAACGTTTCAGGTTGTGCTGTATCGGGCTTCATCACTGCGTGCACTGTAGGCTTCAAAACTTACCCACAACAATCGCCCCGGTTCAGTTGGCAGGCCTCATACTACATACCCGTTTCTGGCTCTTCAGACGGCGGGTTTGAATCTCTCGGCAACGACAAAATCACAACCTAGAGGAGGAAAGCGCATTATTGTGGTGTGCATGAGCACCAACAAGAGGGAAGAGACTGCTGTTGTCTCAAGTAAAACAAATGAGGCAAGCACCGCAGGGAAGACATGCAGAGAACAACTAACTCCAGCGTTTACAATCTTCCTGCGTGCCGCTGCGTCAAACGTTCAACGAAAGGTGCAAACCGGGGCCAGATACTATGTATGATGGGACGAAGACAACATCAACAACAAACGGCAACGACCCCAACAACAACGACAACAACCGACAACACATCAATGACCATCACATCACATAAGATACAGTGCACAATGCACGTGTGAAAATCTACATTTAAGGGCCCTGTAATGCTTGCTTCAGGTCCAACGAACGTTTCACCAACGCGGCCACCAAGTTGGGACGAATCAATCAGCCAAGACTAATACCATGCCTCCTTTCATACAACGTACAATTAGCTACTCCACCCCCATGGTGGACTGAATAATGGGCGACCAACCGACAAACAAGAGACAAAAGAGAAACAACAGTTAAGCGGGGCCATATCTGTTTCATGTTCACATCTAAAAAGGGCCGTTTTAAACGGACCGACTTTTTGTCAAAATGTTTGAAAGTGTCAAAACATGGGACCTGTATGTAGGCGTTTGTCCATTTTTTCAAAAATATTTGGAACGAAGTTGGGCGCAAAAACTTTGCTCCACTTCGTCCCAACTTTTTGACAACCCTCTCAAAGTATTTGGAGCACTTTCCAAAGTACCCTTGCAGAGGCACGCGAGGGCTGCTGCGTCTGCACCACGAGTGCCCCTCACCGTAGAAAGTCAGCTAGGGTTGTGTGTGAGTCATCTGTCGCTGTCGCTATTGCTATCGTCGCTGTTGCCAACGTTGACGATGCTGTCTGCTGTTGCTGTGTCGTCCGAAAAACGGCGGTCCGCCATGATGGCTTGCAGTTGTTGCTTCGCGTCCGCCGCTTTGTTTTTTCCTTTTCCCGGGGGGGTAGGAGCAGTGGTTGCCACCCCTCGCCGGCGGACTGCTCCACCCTCGCTCTGAGTGTTGGTGGCGGCAGCGCCTCCCGTGGTAACATGAGTGTTCCCCGAGATGCCAGGCAGCAGCACTATCTTGCTGGAGAGCAAGCCTCCACCGCCTACGGCGGCACCGAGAGAGCCCGTCTGCTGGAATTTCGCCGGGGTTTTGGTCTGCCGGCCACGCTGGGTGGTCGTGATATCCATGTCGGTGTCCATGATGTCGTGTTTTCCGCGGTTTGTGTTGTGTCGTGTGTGTTGTCTCGAAGTGAGCGCTACAACTCACGGACGGCGTCATTTTTTTTTACACAAGTTGCACAAGTCCACGTCACACGATTAAAATGACTGCACACAGGTTCCAAGTTTTTGAAAGACAAATAAATGTCGAAAATTTTGACAAAAAAGTCGGTCCGTTTAAAACGGCCGTAAGACGAGTCAGCGGCAGGCTCCTCTCTTTGACAAGCACCCACGTGCTGCCATCACAACGGAAACCTGAACTCGAATTAAACTTTTCAAGCTGTCCGGAAGGGCGCCAAAAACTTCGAATCAACTTACTTTATAACGAGGGTGCTGTAGACTATAGACAAACATAGTGTCCGACTTTAAGAAGGGTCAATTCAACCTAGTCTATATGTTTGACATACAAAACACCCCCAAAACAGGTCGAACTACACGTTCAGGGCAGGGGGGAATTCGCCGTAGACAGAACAACTCTCTTGTGTGCCAAAAGACTTGATCGATTCGGAACGCCCCGCCAGAGTCCCACAGCACCCAAGGTGCCTGGGTCTACTGCTTGCGACGCCTTCACTCTCCAGATGCATGTGCGAACTGCCGTCGGCATAGACTTCACATGCTCCACGCAACTGCCTGTCGATCAACTGCGGACACATAACCGCCAGCCGCTGGGCTGTACGTCGTGTTCGCCTTGCGACTCGCTAGCCAAACGGCGATGACTTGCTCCTTCTTCCCAGTCGCAGCGCGCTCGGCATAGGGAACGGACCCGTGCGCGCGGCGCGCATGGTGGTTGCGGCGAGGCGGTCTTCGGCCGTGGACGTGCCGGGCGGGCGGATGCCCTCGCTCGTGTCGCTCGCGCACGCGAAAATGTTCTTGCCGAGTATGGTGCACCACGTGCGCGGCCATGAGCGCCGGATGAAGTGCCGAACGAAGAGGTCTTCAACCTTTTCGGCCTGCAAAGGAAACGGGGGTGGGATGGGGGGAACAACAGGTTTGATCAGTACCAACAAAGGTGCCGAGGGGAAGATTATTAAGTGTCTTTTTCAGCTTGCGGCCGCACTGTCAGGCGCCAAGTGATACGAAGGCATTACCGAGATAGGATGTTCTTGCTGGCGTCCAAAGTGGCCCGGTTATATTGCGCGCTTCCAAGCGGATGGGGGCATTCGAAAGGCGCTGCTGATCCTGTCACGTATTTGTAGTTCGGCGCCCTTGCTGCTCCTTGGTGAACAAACGGTGAGGCGCTTCTTCACCCAAAGCATAAGCATCCAGTGAGTACCAGATGAAAGGGGCCCCACGGTACAATGAGACAACCCGTATTTTCCCGTTTCGGAACCAATCGTACACGGCACGTGTACTCTCTTGGAATGTCTCACCTCTGTCCGGACATGCTGCGGTGCAGTTGTGGTGCACTTCTGCAATCGGCTGCGTATCGCCTCGATCAACATCAGTGAGGTGTCAATATAGATCGGAATGATCAGTGCTGAAAAATAACAAGGATGTGCAAGGGGTGGGGGTGGGGGTGTAGATATGTGATCGTTCGGGGAGCGAACGAAGGCAAAATGACAAAATAACGGCCGTTGATTGGTCTCGCCTTTGGGTGTGCCAAGGGGAGTTAACAAGACGTTGGTTAAATTTGCATTCTGGCTTGGCGATTAGCGCCTCCATAGATCGAAAACACAAGCAAATGCGGAAAGGGCGGGAGAAACAGGTGGCGTAGGGGCTTTGCCCGCTCTGAAAAACCCTCTCATGCACCCAAGTGTGTATGAATCCTCGCAGTGTCAAGGTCGCGTCACAGCAATCTCAAGTCATGTTCCCAGTTGACTGAGTGTCTCCTTTGGGAGTCAGCCCACATGAGGTTCTCAAAGCCGGAGTGTCAAAACGAGGGACAACGAAGCCGCGAGCGTCGTTCACGGCTCAGCCTGTCAGCCTCCACCGGGCAGTCTCGAGAGGAAATCACCCAACATCCATGCGCTCACCGCAGCGAGCGAACAACTGCAGCAGCATCACCGCCGAGTCGACCTTCCCTGCTGCCACGGTTCCCTCCCAGCGGCTGGCGGAGACGGCCAGCAGGGCCATGCACACAGCATCGATGCCCACTAGGCCCGCACCCATGGCGTTGATGACGCTGTGAGCACGGAAATACAACCGATCCAGGAAACGAACACGTTGTGTTTTTCTTTCAAGTCTGTTGAATCACGCAGCCCAAACGGGACGACTCATAGCGTTATATAGAACCCGCATCAAATCACCCCAAACGATATTACACCTCGCAGACTTGCGGGATAGCCCGGAGTTACTTGAAATATCTGCCGATGATTGGTACGCAAAAATGGTACGGAAACCGACTGTCAGTGGTACACCTTAGACGAGACTACCGGTAGACGCGCCTCTCGTTGTTCAACGCCTTCTCTAGTGAGCGGCCCCTCCATTTTCAGTGTGTGTGTGCGGATGGAGTAGACCGTGCCAAAGGATGACAATCTATCCAGCGTCGGACCCAGTGCCGTGAACTCCGTCCTAATCGTGCCGCAAAAGTTGAAACGCTCCTGCCTACTTATGCATACCTATTTGCGAAGGGCCTGAAGACGACGAGCAGGAGGAAGGACAGCGTGTGGAGAGCGCAGAAGAGCGAGAGCTGCAGCACGCTCTCGTCGATGAGTGCCCCGATGCAACCCAAGGCAGCCCACTGCGCAAAATAAATCAGTAGGAATGAAACAGCATGGCCGAGGCCTAGGCATCCCTGCTCAGCGCGTGCCCCAACGGTGAGTATCGCGCGGCGGGCCAACTGGAATTCAATCAGTGAACAGGGGGAGTGTGGTGTTTCTCGGACGAGCATGGCCGTAGCTGTGCTGCGCACGCCGCCTTCTGGAAGGAGCCCCCCGCAAAATGCACGACGATAGATACGAGCAAAAACCAGTGGTGGTGACCGCCAGCTGGGGTAACGCCATCTCCCCACGCCACGCCCTGCGCCTACCATGGCAACAAGAATCCTGTTTCTCCGTCTGTGAGGACCAGGAAAGCACCAATCATGTAGACAAGGGCAGAATTTACCTCCACAAGCGTGAAGGCCACAAACCACGCGCCGGACTTAGTGAAGTCCACGAACAACGGCTCGAAACCGATGCGGAACCACTGCCCTTCGCGCCGGATCCCCTCGTTGTCCGTCTCCGCCGTCTCCCACGTCCCCTTGTTGGCCCACGCGAACAGGCTGTGGTCCTCCTCCCAGCCGGCTCTAACCTTGGAGAGGAAGCTGGCCGGTCGTGCGCGCTGGCCTTTCTCGGCGTCCCGCCATCACCGGTGTCACCGTCGGCCTCGTTCGGGGTAAACACGATTGGCGTGTTGGGCCGCACCCGCACGAAGAAAGTGCGCAACACGGCGACGAACATCAGGATTGGGTAGAAGACCTGGTTGTAGAACACACACGGCAGGGGTGCAGGAGAAAGCACGGGCAATGTTGTTGGGGGAGGTCACCTGGTCAGCGGTGGTTCAGAGTTGTAGAACGGACCGACGCTGGCACACGTTCCCTGCACCCCAAGGGAGCACGGCGGTGCTTCACTTGTACGAGAGATAGCAGCAAGCACCCGACGTACTCCTCGCAGCAGACAACAACAGCACACGTGCATGTGTTCGAAACTGGACGCGATCGTTCGGGTAGAAGACCTGCTACCTGAACATTTTCACTTTCCTGAGCCAATGAGCAAGTTTTTCCACCGACGTTGTGGCACCACACACCAGAGAGCAAAACAAGGAAAAAACTCCTCCGAAACCAAACGGCAGAGCGTGCTACTTTCTCACCAGGGCCAGTCCCGCTGCGATCATCACCGGGAGACAGCCGGCCTCCCGGAGGGCGGATACCTGCGACGCCACAGCGCCCTCGTACGCGAAGAAGAGGAACACGAGCTCGACGTGCGGAAAGTGGAGCCAGGCGAACTGCGAGTGTTCCCGGCACTCTGCCACGGAGCTCAGCCGGCTCTCGGCGCGGGTAAGCGTGCCGAGGCCGCCGCCGCCCTCCTCGTCGTAGTCGCTGCAGTCGGTATCGCTCAAGATGTCATCGCTCCTAGTTGCCTTCTTCTCTCCGTCTCCCGCTACCCAGCTGCCGTCGCGTGCCTTCCGACTTCGATTAGGAGGATCGAGGGCGGGACGTTTCTTCCGCCGTCGCTGGCTACCTGTTGCAGCGGCGTTCAGGAGGGAACGGTCTGTCCGAAGTCGTCGTCGGAAAAAGGAGGCCGCGCTAATGTCAGTGGTTCCACCCGAGGGACGTGCATCCGGTTCGGGCACGGGCGCCTGCTTGTGCTCTCGTCCATCTACGTGGGTGTCGTTGAAGTACTCGCCTATCGAAACCCCGAGGCGTCGAGCCCTGGCGGCCTCCTCTTTGGAGCGTTTCTGGCGACGCGAGAGCAAAATAATACGGGCGTCGGGCCAGCTTGTCGGCAACGGATCCAGCATCAAGCAGTACCGATTGATCTAGTCAAGATCAGAGCACTTTACAACCAGAACATGAAGCGGCGACGCGAACCGTGGTTGGTACATACACCCCATTGTTTGTTATTTTTTCTCCCATCATTGGACTCTGTCGTCTGCCCCTCTGGCCCCTATCCTCCACTTCTATCAGCTAGACGACCCAACCGGGGTCACATAGGAGGGGGGGGTTCGACCCCCTCCTGCGGTTCCTGCCTGAGATATTTTTATCGCGAGAAGGATACAGCAATCCCTTCCCTCGCGACTTATGAAGTCGATCGAGTATACTAACAACGAGCGTTGCAGCGCGTCGCTTCCAACGGAGACCAGGATTTAATAAGCGAGAAAAAACTCACTCTGTCGGGACTCGAACCCATGTACAGCAATGGTGATACATATATAGTCAAATCTCCATGCGGATCATTGACATTGATTACAAGTGTTGGGGTTGTTTGCGGCCTACGCCACTTATTTATCGGGTGAGACTGTTTTGGTGATGTATTAACTTCACGGGAGGTAGACGACCGTCCTTCACACGGACGAAAGAGGGAGTGCTCAAAGAGCGGCTCCCACAGCAAGGAGGGGCCCCGTGAATCATCGCGGTGCCCCCTATCAAACCGGTTATCTTACCAGTCTGCGTGATACAAAATCATCC